TGCTTTATTATAGTACATAATTTTACGTTAGTCTGTAACACTAGTTTTAACTTGAGTAAATTTTAAATTATATGTTTTGCCCTAAATCATTTTTTTATCTAACGCGTTAAATGTTTTTAGTTGGATTTCCATGTCCATAAACGTTGTTCAGCTATAACCTCATACATACTGTACGTTTAGTTAAAAAGTTCTAGATAATTCTAGTAATTTACATCGTAAGTCTTAAAATGACTTATAGACTTACGATACGAATTTGAACATTCAAAATTATCTTTTACTATACTCTAATAAGCAATTGCTTACATTTTGGTGGGGTCCCTGCCCAGTGTCCACTCTGGCAGACAAGAGAGGTTGGTTCGTCCATCACGAAACCAGCCGGACAAGTAAACTGGATCGCATCACCTGTGTTATAAGTCTTTTGACTACTGCCCTGTATTATCACATTCTGCATTCTTGGCGGTGGACGACAAGTGTCCTCTGAAATATATTAATTCGACGAAGGTTAAATACTGCAGCATTAACTAAATAATTAAAGAAGGCGAAAGAAAAAAAAGTGCCGATTAGCCATAATCGGGATCGGATTCCAGACTTGTGACAGGTTAAACTAGCGAGATTTTCTTTGCGTTTAATCTACTATGGCTTTAATATTGAAGTAGTGTCACACAGAGGTTAGGCTAACGCAAGTAAATCCTTGTCACCACGTTTGGCTTCCCAGTGGCTCAGAGGTATGTCTGCGGACTTATAATGCTAAAAACAGGGTTTTGATACAGTGGGTACAGCACAGATAGCCCATTGTGTAGCTTTGTACTTAACTACAAAGAACAAGAACAAATCATCACGTCTTGTAAGGGAAAATATATGAAGATGCAATCAGTAAAAATGTTCACTCTTCTGATTCTCATTAAATACGACGGATTATTAATATCCAGCTACTAAACTTTTATATTACTTTTTTGTTCTTTAACACGTTATTCGTATACCAGAAGCTTGTAGAGTATATTTTCGGAATGTATACACCTTAAATTGTCTTCATTAAGGCTATGATAAAATCATTAGTAAAAAATATTCTATTTCCGTGTTCACCGAGAGGAATCGAACCCCGGGTTTTAGTATTGTAAGTCCGTAGCCTTACAGCTGTCCTATCTGCAGCCTCTTTAATAGCTAATGAAATACTGTCTTTATTTTCGAACATGGCGTCTAGTCTAGATAGCCTACAATTTATAGAGTATCTTGCCATACATAAGATGTTAACATTGGACTATATCTTTCTATTACATTTTGTACATTCACACATCTGTCCAATAGACAATGGGACTCAGAAAGTAAAGATAGTGCTGGTCAGTTGTCCGTAAATTATGTTTGCCGTGACCTTTTGTCCAAAACAACCTTATTGTTATTAACCTTGACAGGCTAAAGGGAAACCTCTTCGTTAAAACGAGTTCGAGCTTATATTTATGAAAGAATGGCTTTAGCAGAACACGTAAGAATAGTTAGTTTCTACTATAGATAGAAACCCCTTCATTAAAACGAGCTTGAATCTATAAAAGAATGGCTTTAGGTGAATACATAACAAGAATATTTAGAGTTTCTTCTGTAGATAAAAACCCATTCGTTAAAACGAGCTTATATTGATTAAAGAATGGTTTTAGCAGAACATACAACAACAATATTTAGAGTTTCTTCTATAGGTTAAAACCCATTCGTTAAAACGAGCTTGTATCTATGAAAGAATGGCTTTAGCAGAACACATAACAACAATATTTAGAGTTTCTACTATAGATAGAAACCCCTTCGTTAAAACGAGCCAAAGTTACTTTATTTCCACACTGTTGATTTATAATATATTTATAATATTATTTTTACAATACTGTATTACAATATTGTATTGTTTTTAAATATTTGGTTTATAACATACTGTTTACTTATACAAGTAAAAAATATTCTGTTCATCACTGACATTTTATTCAGTGTGGTCCTTGGGCCTGATGAACACTTGAAAGTTTTTTTAATGTCCAGTTGCAGTGTGGTCAGTGATAATTGAAGATCACCTCTCTTCAAAACATCAAGGCGGTTACATATTTTTGATAGCAAAAAGGTCACCCGACTAAAACCAGATTCAAGCAGATAAGATGTGGGAAAAGTGATAAAATTCAACTTTGCCTTCTCCTGGAGTTGTGGAAACTTATTAGCTATTTCACTACTTATCCAGAAATAACTTTTGACATTTGAATCTAGCTTGGGCTGCTGAAATATCTTAATCGGGCAATGAAGTTTCGGTGGCTCACTCAGAATTTACTGTGGCCCCCTAATATTCCATCATTCACATGTGGCCTCATAGAAACATGGTGTAGCCCCCTGGGGGACCATATGGCCCACCTGGAGAACCACTGTTATAGTGGATGATCTTATTAGCCACATAGTTAAGTGTACTAGTCATACGCCAAGAGGTTATAAAATAAATGTTTCAAATACATAATAGCAACAGAGCACTAGTATGCAAATCTGAAACAGTGAACGTGGCTGCATTTTCTGCATACTTGCTTTTCCCAGAATATAATTTTTTTATTGCTTAATATATCACCTTAAAGCTATGTCAAGAGTTTGTATCTTACAAAAACACTACTGAAAGTTAGGATGAAATGGAATGGGTACAAAGTAAGTAAATACATTTCTTTAGTGTAGGAATAGAATAGTTTTCACCAACGGTATATAACATTCTTTGAAATTCTAATATAAAAATATTAAAAAGAAATAACTAATCACAAATCAATATATTCCAGACATTAACAAACTAAGAATTTAGTAAAGAATGTGCAATCTGAAGTTATATGCACCACTGTGCATTATAACTTAAGCTGGACAACGTTTCAGGTGACTTTTGTGTTCCTTCTTTGGGTCAACATGGTTTCAGGAAGAAGCACAAAAGTGACCTGAAAAGTGTTCGATTTAAGTTACCAGACAAATTGTTCATACAAAGTCACTTTGTACATTTTTTACTCAAACTGTTGCTGTCTTCACCAGAAATACTGTTAAACAATACTATAATTCATAAGATATTAGAAGAACTAAAACATAATCTTAAGATGATTTCACATACACCGTTCATCCAAATTGGGGGAAAGTTAGAAGTAAAAAAACAAGGACAGTTTGTTGTGTTATCAATTATGATAACAGGTTTCATCTTAAACAGAAAACTTGTGTCACTTTTTTTACAAGTAAAATTAAAATACAAACTAGTATGAACACATCTGTTAATTATAAAAAAATTAATCCTTAAAGTATTATAAAAGTTTAGATTGTTATTCATTCAAACTCTCAACAGACTTTTTTGTAAGCTAAAATACATAATTTATGTCAGTGTATCTATTAAGTATAAAAATAAAATATATTATTTAAATAAACAGAGAACTTGTATCAATGTGTTTATTCACAAGGAGAAAAATTACCCTTAAAGTAAAACAAGAAAACTTGCATAATTATTTAGTCTTTATTGTTGATCTTTACCCTCACACTTGGTGTATGTTCACACTTGACTCCAAAATCAGCCAAAACCTCTCACCCAGAAAATGCTATCATACATTTCCTTCACAAAAAATCACACTGTAAGCAGAATACATCTATACTTGTTGCTTATTACGGCTTGGTTGTACAATAAATGATGTTAATGCAACCGAGTGTGACATTTTCATTTCTGGTAATTTAGCTCTACAGCGATTCACTGCAGTTTAAAGTAATTTCACGTAACACAGATCCTTATTCTAGCTCCACTGCAATTAATGTAATTATACTTTAATACTGTACATGAAATTACACTGAAACTTTTTATATTTAAGAAACATGACAATATGAGTGTAAAACTAAAATATAAAAAGAAACCAAGCGGAAGTTAATGCTTCAGATAATAATTATAAAACTCTGAATCAATAAGATTTGTGGACTACTTAACTTAATAATGGACTCCTTAATGAAGAGTGGCATAGAAGCAGAAAACTGTGATTATGATAATTATTAAAGTGTACATAGTTTGTTAATAGCTAATACTCTGCATATACATGGAATATTAATATTGTTATCTCATGAACCTGTTTCAACATTCTCTCTCCCATCAATTTTCTACAATAAACCTACAAAAGTCAATTTCATATCCATGTGCAAGAACAATATTATTGCAAAGTCAAGATTGTGATAAAAATTAGGCTTTTGATAAGCTTTTAGTTTTAGAAGAACAAAAATGATATTTTGCATATATCTGAAACAAAAATTAATCTGCTCATATTCCATGTCTTAAGGCAAAATGAAACAAACTGAACCTGAACTTATCTAGATTTCTACTGCAAAACTATTGATATTATCAGCGTAGTTGCAATAATTACAAGTACTACTCATCCCCAAAAAAAACAACAGAAGAAGCCTTATTTATATGCAATAATAATTAATAAAAATCATTATTATCTATTTTTAACTGAGTTGTTTACAACAGAAATAATCTTAAACTACAATATGTGGTAATGTTTTGACTTTGTGATGAAAATAAAATTTTTTAATTTTGCACAGAGGAATTTAAGAAGTCGTAAATAAATCCAGTGTTAAAAAGTTAGATAGGAACAGAAGTTAGATCAAAGAGAAATGAAGACAGTTGATATGAGTTAAGAGGAGGGACCAAAGCAATACAGCTAAGGGGTCAAGGATAAATGAAAAGAGGGTGGTAAGTGGTCCGAGTAGGAACTGCAGAAAAATATTACATTAAAAGAGTTAAGGGAAAATAAGAGGAGAATATGTAAGAGGTTAAGAACAGTTAAAAGGGCATAGCTGGAATTGAGAAAATATAGCTATGGGGATAAATGTTAGTGATGGAGAACATTCAGTAATATACACACAAAAAAACAACATTTATATGTAGAAACAGTCACTTTGTAAAAGTTGATATCTTTATTTGAACCAGTAGTAGTTCCAAAACCTTTTCTATTTAAAAGTATACATATCTTAATATCTCAACTTACTGTTTCAGATCTGTGGACAAACTCTTCAAGAATATAACGCCACTCTAATGTTTGCAGTAATAATGCATGCCATCTTCGTTCCAAGCTGTGTGCTATCCGCCGCACATGTCGACCATCCCTTGATGAGACAGTAAAGTTTCCAGAGTTGCATTCAGCCTCAACTTTATCACAGAGTTTGAACAGAGACGAGAGGCACTTTCCTCGAGATTCTAGTTCTTTCTGAACACTCTATGAAAGAAACAGTTGTTGCTACTTTTAATAATATTATCACCAATGTCTGTAGGTCAAAGGTAAAAATTCTTTCATACATCTTACACTTTCAAGTTATTATAAACACAAAACTATCTGAAGTATTTGCCTTCTGTCTAGGCTCCTATAATTATGCATATTGCTAATTCATGGCAGTACCAATGATTCTGATTAATATTAATATCTGTATCTTTCACTGTCTATACCAATCACATTTAATTACTGTATAAAGCAGTTTAAATTACTATCAATCTGAGTATTCAAGTCTCTGTGCTTGGAAGCTTATGCTGCTATCCTTAAAAAAAGCCATTATTGAAAAAAAAAGAAACATCTTACTGTTGAAAAAATATGTGTTACAAATGTCTGACTATCTGTTTATATTATTTGTAAAAAACAATATATCAAACAACATCTGATTAACAAAAATCAGATAAGTCTGTTTACAAAGTTGATTTCCTAAAAAAAAAAAGAAAAAAGAAGTACTAAACAGTATCTTTATGACAAATAACCAGCTTGCCAGTTTGACCACACAATTACTGATGGCATCAACTTTTCAAACACATCATGTTTTTCTAAAAATATTCATTTATCAATTTTCTTGTGAGTCCACAACTTTGTTAACAACCAGATTCCTAATAATACATGAGTCACATAAAAAATTTCCATTCAGTACTGTTGGAGTTTCCTATGTATTTTACATAGAAAATGACAGATTTCACTCTCTCCTTTTTTTTCGGCATTTGCTGCTTCCTCTAAATTGACTAAAGGCAGGCTGAAGCAAACGACACGTTGTCATTATAGTATTTGTTACTAAGCACATGATTTTGCACTTGTCAAAACAAAGAGAAACAGCTGAATATTAAATTTTCAAGTCAGGAAGCATTTATTTACTGTAACTCAAGGGTGAAAATGAATGATATTTCCTCAGAATTTAACAACCATCATCTCAGCCAACAAGAAGATGCTCAATGTAATTCACTCGTCTGAGAGGTATCTGTAGCAGCTTTGTCTGTTGTTTTAAGTATCATAAGCCGTCTTACCGAGGGCATCTGTAGCAGCAATAATATATGTATAAATATAATGTTTCATTTGCTTGTTTATAATTTTATATAAAAGGGGATGTCCCAGTTTTAAGATCTGAAAATCTGGGTATGTTCTAGTTATGTGACTTGAAAATCTATGTCACCCTTAATAAAGTTGGATAATGACTGCATTAAATTCCATAGTTTCTGTGAATAAATGAACAGAAGAGACTGAAACAAAGATTTTGTTTGTAGTGTACTAAAATTATATTATTACATAAACCGGAAAATATACTTTTATTGAAGAGGTGTGTGCATTATTTATTTATTGATGGAATCAGCATCATTGCATTCTGGGCACACCCATATCTGCTCTGCCTTCCTCTCCTGTGTCCAACACTGTGTGTGTGTGTGTAGGATGATGGTTTCCATCAGCAGCTGGAATGCTCACTCCCCTCACCCTTAGTGGCCATCTCTTCATTCAACTCCACTCTCAAACAAGTGGCTCAGAATGTGGGATTCCTCTTTGTTGTGTGCCTTCTTCATGTTATTGATGATTGCACTAATCACATCATTTTTGTTGCAGATCTAGGCAACTCTGATAGGTGCAACACCAGCCAGCCATTCCCCTTCACTTCAGCATGGCCAGGACAAAACACAGGTCAGCTTTTTGACCCTCATTTTAGGAACGAACTTTATCCACTCTGGATGAAGTGTTCCACCTCGCATTTTTTCCAGTGTGCCTTTAGAGTCTGTAGCCAATACTGCACGTGTGAATGCCTTATTCTTTTACCATCTGAAGCAGTGGGTAGCGCCCATGACCTCCATTTTCATGCTGGATGTCATCACATTGTATGCCTCGCTGTTTTCATGAAGTGTTTTCCCATTCACTTGTAATGTGTATGCCCATCCTGATATTGTCCATGATGGATGGATCCATCTGTATGTCTCACTGCATCTCCTGGTTTGGACACTCAATCAATGATAAACTTCACCTCTGCATCAGTGGCTTTTGCAGCCTACTCATGGCATTCCCTGCCGAATATAACTTATAACCACTTCTGTGTACTTCTCCATGTACATTGGCATTTATATCTACTCTAGGCCTCTCCTGATATCCTCCGACTCACAGAGTTATCCTATAACTTTATCAGCTGCTTTCATCCATGACTGTCCCATTTGAAGTCTACTACCTTTGTCTTGATCCAAAATTGAATGAAGGGGATGATCTTCATCATCTCTCACCCAGAAATATACCTTCATTTGTGCAAGACTGCACCTCACTGCTGCTGTAAACATGTCCTTAGTGCATCCAAGTATCATCCTTACAGCCTGGTTTTGAATTGTCTTAAGTATGTTCATATGTGTCTTGGAATAGCAACAATAGTCCCAGCCTATAATCAACCACCAACAGGATGATGCTCTGATATAGTAGAAGTAGAAGTTTGTGTTCTATGTCTGTGGCAGCCATTAATTTCAAAACAATTAACACTCTTTGAACCATCTCTGTCATTTGGCCAATGTGTTTCTTAAATGACAACATTCTGTCAAAAGTGATGCTGAGGTATCCGATACTTCCCTCTCTTGGGACTTGTTGACAATGGATTTTTATTTCTGATATATTTGCTTTTACACTTATGTTGTCCAAGGAGCACCATAAGATTGAAATTTTGAAGCTTACTTTGTTATCCTTGCACCATTCTACTATTCTGTCAACCTCATTCTATACCTACCTGGCAATCTGTACTCTGTCTTGCCCCTGTTAATATGCTAATATAGCAAATGACAAGGTTCTGCCCAATCCTCTGTTCTGAATTCTTGTTACCACTGCACTACACACATTGAATAATACAGGTGACACAGGTGATTCCTGGATAGGTCTGGTGTGACATTTTGTGGCAGAAATTCCCACGTTCCTGCTCGAAGGGATACTTTTTGTTCGAGAAGCACTGCTCCAATCCATTTTATAATCATGGCATCTATGTCCAGAGTGAAACTATACATCATTATGACATCATATGGCACTCTGATGTAAGCACCTTCCAGGCCAAGAGCAACAGCCAGTGTTTCATTACGCTGCTGGAACCCCTAGTGTCATAAGCAAGGATCAAGGCATTCATCCAAGTATCCTTTCTGGACATATAGCTTACCAATGTTGGAGGCGTCACTTTCTGTCTTTACAGATCGTACACCAGTTTCCGGGCAACTATCTTCTCAAGGAGCTTACTGACCATATTCTGCATGGTGATTATTCGATAACCACTAATCTTCTTGTGGTCTTTATTTGGCTTGAGCATTGGAACTAAATAGCTCTGAAGCCAGTCCTCTGAAATAGCACCACCCTGTAAGCTTTGACTATATAGTTTTATCAGTCTTGTACTTTTTCATCACTAAGAGATTTCAAGTTGTCCTATGTCATCCCATCAGGATCCGGTCCTTTTTTGGGAAAGTGCTTAAGAAGTTGTCTTAATGCAGTCCAGTGTGACATAGCATTCACCTTCAACCCCTAACACAGTTTCTTTTACACCTGTGTATAAATTCTTGCTTTAAGTTCTGTCAAATTTATATTGCAGTGATTGTTAATCTCCAGAGAACATGATTTAATACTGAAAATAATGTTAATGACAGGCTGACTTTTTACAGTAACAAAAAAAAAGATTTGATTTTTATATCAGCAATTTGTTTTGGGCTCAGTCAGGCAATAAGGAAAGTCAGATAGCTTAATGATGAAGGAGATGCAAACAACTTTATCAAATCAAACTTTTCCCTCAAAATCCAAAGGGGAAGATACAATAAATAACTCTTGTTAACGTTAAAATAAAAACCAATGGTCTTATTCGTGAAAAATCATGTTACAGTTGAAAGATATTAGTATATAGAGCACAGGCGCCTAGCGCCTAACCTGAGAGAGAGAGGGGGGGGGAGAGACATGCCACTTCACTCTGAATATTGTTTAGCAAAAACTTTTGTCGCCTTATTCGCTCGCCAGTTCTTCCTTACACTTGCCCCTCCCCCACTTTTAACAAAGTTAGAGGCACAACATATAGAGCACACCAGGGTTGTATGTATATCAGTGTTCTTTGACCTAAAACGATTCCGAGTAACGACCGAACTGAGTTCTACAGTTTCTGTGAACGATAAAAAAAAGGAAGTTTTCTAGTGGCAGTTTACTTTTTAAATCCTCCACAGAAGGTCAACGATGTAAACAAAAACGTGCTCGTGCACCTTGGCCAGAACACTCTTGCGTGATAGCCCAAGCATGTACATAGTTCTATAATAAAACAATAATATGAAAAATACGATGCGATTTACAACCAGGATAATCTTTGAACGTTTCTAGCTCCACTCTACAGTGTATTTCAACCCTAGTTGTTACAAACGTTTTGTTATTTTTAGTTATCCGTGGTTAAAATTTTATTACTCCTTTTTTTTTAATCTGACAAAGTTGTGTCTGAAACTAAAATATTTTTAGTGTACGAAATAGGGGGACATGCATATGACCTTAAAAGCTGTATAAAACAAAGGAATTGCGATACTAAATTATCAAGAGCAGGGGCAAGTGTGTGTATTCAATATTTACCATCCTTATGGTAGTTATGTTTCTTCATTTCTTTCAAAGTATCCTGCACTTTTCGATCGTCTTTATGTTGACAGTAACATCACAAAACTTATTTGTCAAATTATTAATCTTATGATAAACTAAAAATAAACTACTACAACTGATAAATTATAAGCTAGTAAAAAGTTCTTTAATTATTATTCATTTGTTTTAAGAACTGGTGACGTCATAACCTTTTCATAACAATAACAGCTAAGCCTAAGATTGCATTTGTTTGTAGGTTCCTAATCTTAGTTTCAACAATGTTTCTACGAATTTATATCCCCGAAAGGGAGCTGAAGGCCGCCTGGAGGGGGGTCACCTGTTTTAACCACTCGCGCCACTGTACAGTAGTGTGTTGTCTGTCATTCAGTCAGTAGACACTGTAATTAATCACTAGCAGAATTATGCATTCTGTAAGCTAAAACACAGCATGACATATGAACTTCAAAAGCAAAAAATGAAAAAAATTGTTACTCTTATTTTGGTTTTATTTATTCTTGAAATAGTAACTTTCGCGGACCCTACAGAAGTACATCTAGTAGCTACTTTTATTTTTTGGAACCAATTTTTTGAGTCTCTCGCAAGTAGGAACTTGGAGAACCAACTGGGTAAAATGATTAACTCACTAGCAATTGGTTGTGATGTTTGTCTTTCTAATAAGTCAAACTGTAACATTCTTCTTCACATGCAGACAAGTCTGCCCTAGGATATAATCTCAGTGTCGTAGTTTTAAACCTTCGTCGGTTGGAATTTTTTTCTGTGGTAATCTAATATTTAATGGTTTAAACTGCCACATATAACGAAATTACTAAGTGTGGTAGTCTTACACTCCCAGTCCTCGTTTCTCCAAATTTATTTCTGTGCTGCTACTACTACATTACTAGTGGGTCCAGAATGACCGGATGGTTATCGCAAAAATCACTAAAGCAGTATGCAAACCAAAAAGGTTAAAAAAGTTATATCTTCAATTATAAGGCTATTAGGAGCATTGTAGCTCGGGTTAATCTTTATCAACTATTAGCCTAATATTTATTGTAAAAAAATATTTTATCTATTTGTTCATTTAAAATTTAAAAATTACGGTTTAAACGCCGAAAGCTAGCGAAACATTAGGAACCATTGAAATCAATACACATTATATTTGCAAACAAATCAATTAACAAACGGAGACTTAACAAATTGGTGTCAGAAGTGGGATAAAAAAAAAAGAAGATTATTATTCGTTTTAGTTTATTTTTAATTTTATAAGAATGTAATTACAATTATACTATTTAGTAACTCTTATTTTTAATTTAAAAACGTAGAAGAATTAGAAGGGAGATTCAAAATACATCATACTTTTCATGGCAAATAATGTACTGTTGCGTCAGCGAGATCACGTGACTATTGTCGCGCCGCCTGCTTTCTAGAAGTATCCCGTTCCTTCGGGAGTGCTCTA